GGAAAGACAATCGCACTTTCGATTCCCCGGTTTTTTCGCGTGCATCACAGATGTACGTACAGTTAAAAAAAATGAAACACCAGCAATCGAATAATCGATCCATCGACGATCGTTTCTCCGGTTGCTACTTCTTCCATCTTCCGTGCCGGGCAGTTTGATCTTTTTTCTGTTGCTGTATATTCCTCTCAATTTTCTTTTTCAGCCTTTTTTTCATATCATTGTATATTCCCGCTGATCTTTCCCACAACACTACATATTTAACAACAATACGGGCAGGAGTGGGACAACTAGAGGCAGCCTCTCGGGTATGACGCAGAGACAAAATGTTTCAAATATTCCATGTGATAGCCGAGAGAGCACACTGTCTCAGTCGCACATCTTGCGAAGCTGGCTTGGGGGCAAAAGGGAGAGATAACAGTGAAATAGAGTGGAGAGGAACACAAGAAAAACATCTTCCAACTAATCATTGACTCGAATTTAATTATTGATCTACAAATTGTGATCTTCCATCTCATTTCCGTCACCGTTCACACAAAGCACAACTCGCAGTAAGAGCTTTCTTAATGGACTTTTCTCATCCGCGCCAGAGCGACAGAGAGAGGGAGAAAACTGCTCGAGACGGTGCCATTTGGGCAAAAGGCATACACGCCTGAATATATTATTAATAAAAATGTTTGGCATAATTAATTGTGGCGGCAAATTGTCATGGAGAGATTCTCACAGACTAATTCCATACTGACAAAATGGACAAGCTCGCTTTCCGCGCGCAGCTTCTTCACATTTTTCCCATGGATCTTGGTGTGTGGAAAGATCTGCGAGGGCGTTTCCATTGAAATCATCTCATTGAGCATTTTTACGATTGACTTGAGCCGAAAATTCGCCGCGCCGTTACATTTTGGCAGATGGAGTGCGAAATAAAAGGGAAGATGCGCGCGCGAATGAGCGGGAAAAGTATTAATAATTGTGAATTATAGCATCTTAATCATATTCAAATGGAAACAGACTGAGATTTTTTCCAGCATTCCAATTTAACGGACTCCAGCACGTCGTTTTTATCGCATTTTTTGCTGGTCACTCAACATCTTCTAATCATCCTATAGAACTTTTTCGGAAGACGTCTATAGAGGTGCGATTAGAGATGAAGAGAGGTTCTTGGGCGAGGAAGCATTCACGTGTCTCTAAAGAGGCATAAGAAGGTTGTTTCACCTTCGGCAGAGGGTGAAGAATGGGTTCAATTAACCGTTCCGGACAAATGGCACTTGTGGGATGAATTGAGCGCGCACACAAATCGAGTCATATATTGGAAAAGCCCAGTGAATCAATAAACATCGCCCCAACTGTATAAGGTCATAAAAGTGGTTGAGACACAAAAAGCGGACAAGAATTTTAGCCGGTGTGTTTAGCAATTAAGAATGAGCTTGCGGAGGGACATAGAAATTTTTCGAAATTTTTCACATCGATCCGAGAAACACGACAGTGTTTGGCTTCGGGGCAATTTGGCGTGCGGAAAGTCCGGTGAGAGCGCTTTTAATCGTGCTGGGTAATTTTACATTAGTTGCTAAATGTGCGCTGGTGTATTATAGGAGACATGGAAGGCCTTTTTCCCCGGCGCGCGAGAGAGAGCGAGTGGTTTTTCTGTGGAATGCAGCACCCACACCGGATGCGTGACACAAGACATACCAAGAGAGCCCAAGAACCGCAGCGGGTTTCGTGGAGGTGCAAAAAAAGGAGGAGAATTCTTTCTTCTGATCACCTCTCACTCATCCCGTATCTTGAGCACACACATCTTGTGCCAAGAGCATGAGATTCTGTGTGTTTTCTCCCCAGTTTCCTTTCTCTCTCTCTCTCTCTCGCGCGCGAGAGCACGACAAAGAAGGTTTTGGTTTCTTTCTTAATTTCAAATTTAACACCTGAGCAACGGCATTTTCGTGTGCACAGCAATTTTCCCCGGCGAGTCCGCAGGAGAGTAGAGGTGTTTGAATATGACCGTGTGCGCTGTGTGAGGTTGTTAATCATAAGGCACGCAATGGGAAACCCTTTAACCCTTTCTCCTCATTTGCACCGCAGCGCCCAACGGCGGGAAGAAAAGTGATATGCCGAAGGAAGCTTTGATGATGGCCAAGCAACGCCACAGAGAGTAAGAGATATGAGTGTAAAAGACAAAAAGAGCGACGCTTTATAATTTTATATTTTATACATACAAAATCGACTTTATATATTTATTTCTCTCTCTACACAAATAAATCAGGCACGCAATCTCACAATAAAAGTCAATTTGAGCGCTCTTTCTCACTCTCTCTCACCTGTGCTCAGGTGTTTATTGAATATTGAGTGTTAAAAATTTAATGTGTAAAATGCGGTGCTCAATAAACAAGCATCACTCCTGATCCACCTCTCTCTCACTCACCCATGCCCTTTATGCACTTGCCAGCGCTCGCCCAGAACATAATACTTTTGACACTTTTGCGGTCAATTCGCGAAAGTTCCGCGCACGCACTCACGAACGATTGCTACACCCATAAATCGTGAATTAATTGCACTCCTGTACAATTGAGTGCCAATTAACAATCGCCGTGGAGGAACATAAAACCCTGCACGGGTCGAGTTGCGCCGTTGGGTGGAAAATTGGTGGCTTCTGTTGCATATTTCGCCAAGGCAGAAAAGGTGGCAAGGAAGGCAATAAACTAGAAGGCTTGAGGATACACACATCTTGCGTATCGCGAATCCCTTTTTCATGCGCTTCGACGTTTTGTGTGTGAAGTCAGCGTGCGTGGCTTGTATTCATCGCAGTTATTTTGAAGAATTTTAGCAAAGATCGCAAGTTTTCTAGGTAATATTTCTGATGCAGAAATAAGACTTCTTTTAATGTTCAAATTTTGCGGAAATTATTTCTGTGCGTTTTCTGTCCAACTCTGCAAAAGCTTTTAAAACAACTGTACATCATTGACAATCGCGCAGTCTTCAAGCAACACGCAATCTTTCACATGATCCCTTCATTTTCCGCACCGTTTCCTCCGCACATTCCCCAGGTTAATCTCTCCCCTCCGACTAAATCTAATTTGTTCACTAATTGCCCAACAATTCACACTCGCACTAATGTTGCATACTTTTTTCCAACTGACCGGTTGCAGTGTGGGTCAATTTTGAACAGTGAGAGAGAGAGTGAATAATAGAAGTGACGAAAAAAGTTGTCGCAGTGCAGAAATAATATTGCCAACCGCAAATTTGTGCGTTGTAAATAATGAGTATTGATTGAAAATGCGATTTTCATCAACATCGCCCAGTTCGTGAGCATCAAAATGAGCATATTCATGTATGACTCTCCGCCGATGGCCATTTAGCGCAGAATTATTTGTGTGTCATCTCCGGCTGTTGCCCAACAATTGGCTATGGCATTCCGGCTCCGGACAAAGAAGGTGGTAAACAAATATGCGGGTGGTTTTTGATGTGAATATGACGATTCGGCTGAGACGCGAGCGCTGTGTGCGCCTTGAGAGACAGGCCACAAGAGTCAGCGAAAATTTATTTTCAATTCATACACTGTGAAAGACTTGAGCGAGAGAATGAATATGAAAGAGAGCCACCCGCCGGCTCACAACTTTTTCAAGCCACACACAACAGGCCAACATATAAAATTAATCGGAATTAATTTTTATGTGAAGATAGGTAAATAAGGAGGAAAAAAATGGCTGTGGAAAGAATAAAAATCATGCTGACTCAGGCGTCCATGCTCTTTAATTATTGAAATTATTGACTGATTTTTCCAATGATTGTGATGTCACTCATTAAATAGAGTGACAAATGATGGAAAAATCGTGGGATCTTCAAGCTATATAAATTTTTGCCCAGAAGAAATGGTGTGTATTGATAATTGAGAGTGAAGAAGAGACAATAGAGCAAATATTATTTCACGCATTTCGGGAATGTTTCAACGAGATGGATTTCTTCAATATGTTTTAGTATGAACTTCTTCTTTTTTACGGAATTCATATCTAAAAAGCCACTCTTGTGTTTGCTGCGTCAACAAAGTGCCTCTAAAGTCACACAGAATTGTGAAATCGCCCCCGCGTCTACACTTCTCCCATGCACTGTCATCGAAAATCAATTCATAAAACGTGAAAAGGCAAAGTAGACGAAAGAATTTCTTGACAAATTACCACTGGTGACCCATTAAGAGGTCTGTGCTTAACAATAGAAACACACTCTCGCACGCGTTACCTGCAATTAATTGCATGCAACTTCGAGACGCAGGTTGAGGCGTCAATTAACCATGCCAATTGTGTCAGGCTTGGGCGATGATTGATTGAAATTTTGGGGGCTCCCGAGCGACTCTTTCAGTCCACCCACATTCGCTCACGATGCACAGATACGGGCCAAAGTCTTATGGCTTAATTCGTTGCTCGAGACAAAAAAGCGCATATTAAGTATGCAGTTTTGCCGAAAAGAAGCCCTGGGTGGTATTCAAATTAAGAAAACGGTTCACTCAATGTGTTGATAGTGTCAGGCGATTTTTCAAAAATTCTTAAATTAACTTGCTGCTTGACAGATACTGTTACAAAATGCGGTTACAATTGAATTCCAATCGAGAAGGTGGAATTGAGAGTTTATTAATTTATTGTTGCAACTTCACATAATGCCCCGATTGGCTCTCTCAAGGGGGAGCCAAATCACTCCTCAGCTATTATTCATTGGAAAGCCATTGAGTGCATTAGGAATTTTCCGAGACGCCCCAGTAATGACCGGACAGGTAAATTGTGGGCGAAGTTGTCACAGGTAAAACGAGTCAGGAAACATTCGCAGCATTTCGACCGGAGGCGACGACACCGAGTGTTGGTGAAATTTTCGGGGCGACGGTAAAGTTTTATTGCCCTGAGCTAATTAGTCTCCACCCTCATTATGTGGGAATTGCAATAATCCGACCCCAGTGTGCCAAGGAAGTCTCTCGAGATGTAGAAAAAAAGTGTCTGTGGAAGGCCATTTGATATGCTCAATGTACTCACCACTGCAACGGGAGTGTTCGGCTCCTGCAGGAATTTATCCGTTCCGCACTGTTTGGTCTGTATCTGCATACAACTTTTCTTGGATGGCGCGCGCTGGCGAGCAGGACCTTTTCGCCCGATGATGGACAGCCTTTTGGTCCACGTGCAATGCACACAAAGATGCCCAGAAGCACTCTCAAGAAAATGCACTAAATGTCGGTGAATCCAGCAATCAACACTCAGTCTTCTCGGCTACGAATAAATTTTCATGGTTTACAACTTGTGACATCTTACTTCGCATCATGTGTAAAAACGCGCGACTCTGTCGTCTCTCTAGCCTATCAAATATATATATATATGTTTTACTTCTTACTAAAACAATTATCAAGTTTTAATTATATTAACGTGTTTAGCACATTTGGGAATTTCACTCGCACTTGAGGAGACTTAATAGGGATTCCTTTTTTACTTTAAACTTATGTGTTTCTGTATTTTCATCTCTTCTTCTCGTGTGTGTTTTTTTTTGTCTTCCTCTTCTTATATCACCAATTTCTTAAGACACTTTGTTGCTGCTGTTTTAATTTCTGCTTCACGTCGAAATCTCCGCTGCGTCATCAACGCATGGACGCTTTTGACGGGAAATTGAACGAGCGAAGTTAACGAATATCGTTAATTTCATAAGATATTTCCAATATATTGCTTATAATGTTGTCAAAATTGATTATTTGGCTGTTGCGATAAATATATCTCGTTGCTATTCACCAAAGTTTTGCATGGAAGAATATCGTGTGGTTAATTGTATTAAAGTTTTCCACGTTTTTCCGCTTCTTTTCGTAAGAGTAATTTGTGCTATTTAAGCATTAAATTGAGGTACTTTCAAACTTTTTTTTTCTTCGTATAATCTTATTGTTGAAGTGTTCTCAAGCACTGCACTTTAGCGTATTCTTGTTTAGTTTTAAAAAGTATTATAACTTTGGGAAGGAAGATAGTCTCGACTTTACACAGTTATTCATAGATTGATTGTTATCAGAAATATATATTTAGGAGCTTATATCAGTTGGTCAGCAATTGAGGGCGTTATTTCGTAAAATATTAAGAGATGAATCCTTTCGAGTATTTCGCCAAGTCGTGTCGCAAATACCAGTGTCAAGTTTTAGTTCAATCACATGAGATTAATCACTCGGATTTGTGGCTTTTTCGGGGGTGGATCGCATAACACTCTGTCACTATCACAACGTATTTTTCGATTCATATGAGCCAACATAACTTATTGCTGATTTGTCACATTTTCCGTGCTTTCCACACTCACTCTCGCGAGACTTGCCATTCGGATTGATACAAATGTTTATTTATCGGTCGTAATAAAAGCAAAACCGTTAATTGTTGACTTCCAACAGATGATTTATCTGCCCACAATCGGCGTGGTTTGCAGTCCCTGGACGTTGGAAATCTTTGTTGGGTTCTTCTCTTACTTTGGGGGGGTGGTTTTGCCGGAAGTCACACACTTTTCCGCCAAACTTCCTGCGCTCCGAATGTTCTTTTTCCCACCACTTGTTCGCGCTGCGGCGGAGTGAAAACTGTGTCGGTGGCTGCAGTTCAGGGACAACTGTGTGCTGTGTTGTGATAAAAGTATTGCGATATTGTTTGGCAAATAACAAGAAATGACCCGCACCGCATCGATACGAAGGCGACAATAGAGACGAGTTTCGGGTGAGAAATAAACTAAAGGTTCTAGTCGGCGTCCAAACCGACACTGACTTGCCCGATGTTGTGTCGCGACTCTCGCAATCCAACACGGCACTTCTCATTCTTTCACATTCTCCCAATGACGAGCACGAGGAGTGCGCTTATCTCTTCTCTCTCTTCGTCCGCTCTTTCTCTCTTTCTCTCGCGCAACAGTGTTCGTGAGAGAGGCCGCACACTCGCTCAATCTCAGTGCCAACACACTCGCACTGGGAGAGCCACTCTCGCGAGTGAGAGAGTGCGTGGCGGGTTTTGCGAATTGAGGTGTCCCACCCTCTCTCTGTCCCTCTCATGGCCGCGAGGCGCCTCGCCATGTGCCAAATCTCTCACCATCTCACTCTGGCGGTGACTGTGGGGGAGCGAGATGGCCTCTACCCCCACGAACACTCGCGTAATTACGTAACGCGCAGGCCAGAGCCACTTGAAGAGCGTCAAACTCCACGGCGAGGGTGGGAATGAGAGAACCCAGAGTCACATAGGGTCGCACGCTTTGCACTCGCGCACTCGCCGCCTTGGCAAAGCGAGAGGGAAGATGCACGTTGTCCCAAGAGTGTGGGAGGGAGAGAGCAACTCTCTCTCCCAAAAATGCACTCTCTTCGTCAGTGAGATAAAGAATTCAAATTAAGTACGAAAGGTTTGCTATGAACTGCGCAAAAATACGTGAATAAATGCGTAAATTCATTTCTAACAACTAGTCATACATCTTTGCCCTGGAATGATGGCAGAAAAACTGTCTCTATTAAAAAAACAACTAAATATTTGCCACCCATGATCCCAAATGAGTCAAAATTTGAATGAATCTTCAAGATGTTACTACGTCAAAGTCGATGTTTTGCACAAGTTCAAATTTGCGCAGAATTTGCTGTAAAGAGTTAACCATGAGATATTCAACAAAAACCGAAAACGCACTTCTTGGATTTAATTTGCCAGGCAGAAAAAAATTGAGGGAGTAACGAAAGGAGTTGAGCAAGGTTGTGGCAAGCCTCCAAGGAATAAACTTTCATTGCTGATTAATTAAGAAAGCGAATTTTTATGTTAATTGCTATCTGCATGGGTTTTATCGCTATGCCATCTTCCGCCCAGAAACTAACGAGAGACACTCTACAAACCATTTCGAGGGCAATTTATTTCAGACAATAAAGATACTAATTGATTTTTTTGCAGGCCCACCACCAGATTCACGCGAAACTGTCCACCGACCATAAAAATGGCGTGGATGAGTGAAGAAAAAAAGGCCACAAATTTCTTCGGCCAAAAGATGAATGTGCTATTAATTAATAGGAAGAGGAGCTGAACATAGTTTTGGGGATTATCTGATTGTGAGGAGCGCGAGATATTGGAAAAAGGTGAGCTCTTAACTTGGGTTATTGGCTCTTGTTGGGCTTGAAGATCTTGATTTTTTGATTATTTTTAGAATTATGCAGAAAAAAGGTAACGTAAATCTGATATCAGTGGTGGATTTTATTGGATTTGGCACTGCTGCTTGACTGGCGGTAATTTTGTGGGAAGTTTCTCACAATTGCTGGTCTATAATTTATCATGCGTGTTAGAAATTGACCAAGAAGTGAAGCATAAAAAAGACGAGTGGAGTCTTAAAGGTATCGGAGAAATTGCAAATTGTGTGGTAAAATTGCATTTTAAATTCGATTGGAATTGTTCAATTGTTTGCTAATTCCACGACGCGCTTCTTCTCTTGTGCGGGGATTTTTCTGTCCGCGACTCTCGAGACGCCCATAAAATGTGACCAGAGAGCGCCTACCTATATATATATTGCTTTGGCATTCCGACATACTTTAAAATATATAATAAAATAGAAAATGCAACTGGAATTACGGTGAATTTTCGCATTCTTCACTCGATATCGAAAGTGTGTGTGCGCGAGTGTCCCGGAAAGGACAATAATTTGCCTTCTTGACGCGCAGCAAATCCTTAATTTATGGTAATTTCATCGTCTCTCTGGTAGTTTCAACAATCACCATCCCCCAATAGGAGCTTGTCGTCGTTTTTTTCCCTCCATCCGCAGCTCCTCCAACTTTTATTCTTGAGCTACGGTATAATTTAGATGCAGCAGCAATTTGCGGTGGAGATAAGATCTCCTCTTCTTCTCGGTCTCCGTCTTCGTCTTGTGATTCCTCTCGAGAAGTCAGTGAGAGTGAATACAAGAGGCAGAAAAAGGAGGAAGCCCGTATAGTGGCTACTTATAAAGTCGGGCAATGAATTGAACATTGGCGATGGTGAAGAACCAAATTGTGCCTAACCATCATGAAGATGGATTTTGACGCGGAAAAAAGAGAGATTCGTGGAGGAGGAAGCAAAGTATGATTACCATAAGCTGTGTAGTGTTTCTGGGTAGCAGAGATTCTCGCGCTAGTCATGGGTTTTTCACCAAATTCTTGGATGGCTGCATTTTGGAAATGAAGACAAAACACGAGTGGAATTTTTGTATTTCATCTGCGCTGACTTGAGAAATTATCGAGGGAAAATGAAATGGGAGAGAATTCATCAGTCAAGTGGCCATCTCTCGATCGACCACAGTCAATTCTTCTCTGCAGGCGACAACGTGGTGATTATACACCAAACAAGTTTAGCAGATGAAGCATCCGCGGGAAAAAAGGAGATCCACAGAGAAAGACACAAAATGAAACAGAATGAAATCTAGACAGATCAAATTGATTGTTGCTGGAGATATTTTTTTCTTGAGATACACATTTTCGGTTGTTGAACCAAAAGCTTTTGTTGTAGGTGTGGGAACTTTTTCACCATATATATCCACACTCTTTCCCTTCTTCCTCTCTTCCATCGACTGGCCACAGAGCCGCTGATTTGTGCAGGGGAAAACAGCGCGCCAAGAGAGTCTCAGAAAATTGTCCACTGCTTTCCCACACACTGTCAAGAATGCCTTCAGGGGGACGCAGAGGCGCAATTACACAACGAGACGCAATTTACTTCGGGACGCCTTTTGCACGTGAAGCAAGAGGGAGAGCGCGGGACAATGGAGAACTAACAAATTCAGCCATCCCTCCTACCAAGGGCTCTTGCGAATCCATCAGATTTCCTTGAGGACCCAACTGAACAACTGCACCCAATTTAGGTGCAAAAGTAGGGGAGAGCGGGGCGAAAATTTTAGTGCAGACTTTCGATGCATTTTCCACTGAAGGAAATTTTATTTGGTCTTCTGAATTCTCTTAGTTATGAGCTTCAAAAAACCCTGCTTAGTTTTAGGGTCAGAAAATGCAAGGATTTCGGACAATTTTCCAGTTATTTTTATAGTCAAATCCTGAAGAAATTATAAAGAAAGCCTTTAGAGGATTGAAGAATATTATTTCATAACCAATGGATAATCTAATGGAGGGAAAACATAAGGATTTTCATTTTCATTTTCAAGGTTTTAAACTTTATTAGTGCTATATAATTGAAAGTAGTGAAAATACTTGACTTAAGTTCAATTATCTGTAGGTTTGAAGCTGCCCCACTCGTAGTGAAAGACATGATCGAAAGAGATCCACAAGAACCGTACAACTTTTGCGCTAAGTGTGTAAGAAATTATTATATGCCTTCAAGACATTCTATAATATCTGTGCTAATGTAGCCTTTAGAGACCTTTGATCGCTCAGTGGTTTCATTCCTTGGCCTCTCAACCCTCTCCCATTCTCCCCTTCTCTCCCCTAATTGAATACAACATCGCGCAACTTGCACTGTATCGTGCAGAAGTTATAGTATTTGTCCAGCTGGGTGCTCCTTGTCACCGCATGAATTTGTTCCATGCACTCACGTAAACGACGTAAACACAGTCCTCAATCTCTCCGTCTTTGTAAATCCCAGCGCGCTGGTGAGAAAGAGAGTTGGATATTGTTAGAGACGTCGAGGGGAATAATCACGGGAATGGGGTGGCGATTCCACCTATTCAATGACTCTGCCGTGTAATAAATTAACAATTCCATCCATTGTTGCACCGTGATTTCTATTCTCCGGCATTCTCTGCTGGATTCTGCAATGTCTCGCAAGAGGTTTTTCCTCCGGGAGGGAAGACGGTGGCGTTCACCGTGAGAAAATTGCACCCTTCCATTGAGGTGCGTATTTGCGGCAATTGTTGGTCTTCGGCCGAGGGTGAGAAGAGCGGAACTTTGGGTGGGGTGGTGGTGAGCGAGGGAATTTTGATGTGACGCAATCCCAAAGTGCTTTGAACATCTGCCTCGGAAATATTTATAATCTCCACTAGGAAGAGAGTGAGTGTCTTCCTCGGTGGCAGAAACATGGGGTGGAAAGCCGGTTCTTCGGGGTGGAAGATGGATTTTCTTCTCATGAAATCTGGGTGGGTACTTAATGAACCGTGTCATCCTTGAAGTGAGCTTCAAATCCTCGGGATCTCATCGTAATGGGAGCCCATTGTGCTCTCCTTGGCCAGAGGCAAAGAAAGCATTCCAGCTGCCTTCGTAACGGATGAGATTCTTCACCCTCTCAATTGGTAAAAAAAGAAGTACTTCTTTTGCGATAAAATTTCACTCTCGATCGAGGGTGACTCTATCATAAGACGCTCTCCTGCATCTTCACACTTGTGATCTCTCGCGTGGATCGACTTCTTTCATGTCTTCTTTGGAACATTTTGAGTGAATCGGCTGTGCCATATGTTTGGCGTATGGATAAAACGTACGATGGCAGAAGAAAAGAAGAGTTTCTTACACAGAAATTCGCACGTGCTATCGAGAGCGTCTTCCAAGGAAGCGCACATCAGGGAGTTAATAATCCCGATACTCGAGACGCTCCTTTTTGGCTGCAGAGCGGA